TTTTTCAGGTGAATGACTCCTCTTTATCAAGTGAATGACTCCTGGAAAATGACTTCTCATTTTCCTCCAGGAAAATATAAAGGTATGTCTACAGAATCAGTAAGGTTCATTCTAGCACCAGCATTCTGAATAGACTTGTGTTGAGAAGTCAACAACTCATAATTTAGATACTTTTCAAATTTTAAGTCTCGCAAGTAGATGTCAAAAATCAATAAAGCTTACTATGGTGCAAAAATGTTCTAATGTGTCCATCCTTACTTATTAAAAACAGAGTTAGCAAAGACTTGCCCCATAATCAGCAGCACATCATTAAATTTTATTATTTACTTGTTAACCTAAAATTTATTTTAGCTTTAAGCGAATTTAAAGACATTCGTGCTTTCTTAAATCCTGATGCATCACATCATTATATACAAAACCTTTTCAAACTATTTACAAAGCTGACCCAACCATGACACACAATGCTTTGACTTATTTTTAATAAGAATGTGAAAAAATTTAATGACTGTGCATATCATCAGCCTATTAAAAATGTTTCACACTATGGAATAGATAGGCATTTAAATATAACAGTGGTTAAATCCAAAAAAACTTAGCCACAAACGATGATGAAACTGCCAATAGTTAAGAGGAACATCACAAATAATGTGACAAAACAACTGGCAAGTTTCCAAACAAAAACCTTGATTTTAGGTGCTTCATAGCAAAGTGGTTATGACTTTAGGTTTTGGAACAAATGTTACACAGAAAGGCAGTATTTTGATTTCTTTTTAAGTTTAAGGCCCAAAGATTAGGATCCTACTGGCTGAGGTTCAGGCTTAGAAATAAAACATAATGAAACAATGTTCCTACAAAGAGGCATTTTACTACAGAGAAGAGGACTAAGTAAAAATAACTGGTTTGATGCAAGTGCAATTACCACAGGCAGAATCTTAATTTTTAAGAATAAGTCAAGGTGCATTAGCTCAAAGAATTTAAGTTGCTTGTCCCCATCAATTTCCCCACCTCTATTTCTGTAAATGCTAGAGAAAAAACAAAATCACATTACAAAAATAAGAGAAAGGAAAAAGAAGATATGAAGTACAAGCGGTTTACTATAAGCTCTAATTAATAACCAAATGCAATGGGGGGGGAGGGGAGACCCCTAATGAAAGGCAGCAATTGAACACATTGAAGATGACAAAACATCTCTCCTTTCCCAAACACAAGACTCTTACTTCAACTGGATCTTCAAGGATTTTCCTGTTTTCAGCCTCTAGCAAGTCCTTTCATCACTACAATCATATCTCCAGCTGAACTTCAAAGGGAAATATATAAAAGCCACTCTGGTGGGCGGCTGTTGAGATCATCACTCATAGCATCTTCCACAGATCTAAGAATAAAAAGGCTGACTTACACATTAAGACCAAATACTGGTCACCATTCTCAGTTTATTTTGTAATCTACTCCAGACATCCACAAACTGTATTTATTTTTAAAAAGGGTTCCATAAGTATAACTTTGGTAGCCAAAAAAATTCAGCCCAAGTAATAAATCTAAAATTCAATGATTGCATTTTTATCTCATACAAAACCACAAAATCTTAAGTGAATACTCCAAGCTAATTCCAAACATTGTTTTTAAAAACTATAAAATAACCCAGTGCTAAGCACTTTACATATATTAACTCAATTATTACCATAATCCTATGAGGTTATTATTATTGTCCCCATCTTACAGATGAGCAAACTGAGGCACCAAAAAGCTATTAACTTACCCAAGACCACACAATCAGTAAATGGAAGGAGCCAGGATTTGGACTCCAGACCAGAGTTTAAATCAACTATACCATTCATTCGTTTAACAAGTTTTACTAAGAACCTACTATGTGCCAGGCACAGTTCTAAGCACTGGGGAGAGAGCCATGAACAAGTCAGATAAGGCATCTTTCTGCCCTCTGGTGGGGGAGAGGCCTTGGAGCAAATAAGTCTAATGCAAGAAATTGATAAAAAAAGTGAAAAGTGTATCTTCACCTAGTAATAAACGCTATGGAGAAAAATAAAGCAAAAAGAAAAAATCAGAAGTGACGGAGGGAGGGGCTGGCTTCTATTTTAGGGATCAGGGGAGTCCTCCCTAGGGGTGATGACATGTGAGCAGCAAACAGAAGATATAAAGGCAAGATAACTAGCAGGAGGAGGGGTGGCGCAAGGAAGGGGCGGCCAAGTGGCTCAGTTGGTTAAGAGCTCGCTCAAGAATTTGAGCTCTGAGCAACAGCGGTTCGAGTCCAGCCCGAGCTGAGCAGCCGCTGAGTTGCCAACAGGTAGCAGGATGGCTCAGCTTTAAAAAAAAAAAAAAAAAAAGAACAGCAAGGATAACACCCCTATGGTAGGAAGAGTTTGGTTTGTTCAAGAAACTGCAAAAGGACCATGGACCTGAGGCAGGGTGATAAAGAGTCATGAAGGAGACAAGGGTACAACTGGCAGCTGCCAAACCATGTAATGCCCTGATGGGCTGTGGTAAGGAGTTCTGATTCAATTCTAAGAGTTACAGGAAGCTTGGGGAGGATTTTGAGCAAGAAAATTGATTTGTTTCTTTAAAAAGATCGCTGTTATGTGGGGATCAGTGAGGGAGAGAGCAAAAACAGGGACAGCAGGGAGGGCACTGTTTCAACAGTGTAAGGAAGAGACATGGGAACTCAGACGAGGATTCAGGTACTGTTTATACGTAGATGAGATACTAAAAGAACATGAAACCTAACTATCTCTAAAAAAAGACTTTTTTTATATTCCTCTTCCCTTCATCTCCCATTCCTGACTTCACTTTGAAAATCAGATTCTTCTTTTTTAAAATCCATGTTAATGCTTCAGTTGGTGCTATTCTAGGAGGAAAAGATTAAAAGGTATTTCCTTCGTTTATAAATGTCCTGTTTAATATACTCTATGATATACAAATATGCCACATACACTCATACATTCTTGAGAAGTTGAAAGAGCTTTACTGCTGTTTAGGGCTTGTTCATTTATTTGGAGACAAGAAGAGGTACCTATCACCTCTTCTGATTAGCTTTCTTCTCATGCTTTGTCTCCAGCACATCCTGGCTCATTCTAGATTGTGAATTTCAATAACAAGGCATTCCAAAGGGAATATGTATTTACTGAGTATCCCCATGTACCAGGGACTCACTAGGCACCTTATATTTAAGAACTCATTTAATCCTCAGCTACCCAAGGTGGGAATGAGGCCTTTTCTACAAGAAAAAAATCAGAGATATTAGAAGCTTAAATTGTGCAAGGCCACACAGCTAATAATGGACAGAGCAGAATTTAAATCTACAACTCCAAAGTTCTTGTCTTTCTACTACAGCATCTAACAAAGAAAGGACTTTCAAATATGTATTATATATAGCGTTCCTAACTTATTAATGACTAGGTTGTTCCTGGTGAAGACAGGATTTTTCTCTTATGTAGAGAAATCTGAGTTTTGAAGTTAGAGATGAGAAAAATGTTCTTACATATTCAAGTACGTTATTTTTTAAAATTATTTTCTACTTGAAATTAATCTTAAAATAGTGATTCCCACCTTAAATCTTAAGTGTGTATTGGTTAGAAAAAAAGTCTTAAATATGTCCTGTTTACCATAAAACAGGTGAAAAGGTCTATGACAAAAGACAAGTTCAGTCCAGACCCTGCCCTGGAGACCTTCAAGACAGTCTGAGAAAAACAGGATGTGGATGTAAAGATAACCAAAAGTGGCAAATAAATAGCCTAAGACTGAATGGAGGATATCATCGGAGATAGAGAAGGATTCCTAGAACAGGAACTGTGGGTGAGCTTGAGGAGTCCAGCATAGGAAGTACACGGAGGGACCATGCTAGCAGCATTTGCACAGGCTAAGACAAGGCAACGTGGGAAAGCAGAGACGGGAAGTTTGGAAAGGAGGTAAACGGTACTCCCCACAAGATGGGTTACTGTGCATGCCAAAGGAAGAACCAAGATTATGCTATGTCCTACCCTACCTACAGAGAAAATGGCTATTTCTCCAAGGCTGATACGCAGAATTAAGAACAGTTACATAAAGCCCTTAATAGTTGCAAGCCCTTTTATGGTATATGCTGGTCCATATTATTTGTACCTAAATGATACCATTTCTACTCTTTACGTGACTTGAGCAGACGTGGAAGACAGACAGAGTAGACTTATACCATCTGCAATTCTTTTTTAAAATAAAGGAGAGTCTAATACATTAAGGTATTTCTTTAAAAGCTGGTTTTAAGTAGTAAGAGCAGTGAACTGCATAAAGAAAGCCCCTTCCCGTCTTCACAGGGGCTGACTCGTTTTAACAGTGTGTGGAAGCATGAAAGGGACTCTTGTAAGGACAGGTGGGTAAAGGTGCCCTGCACATTACGGTAACAGTAAGTAACAAGGAAAAACAAGTGAATAAAAGGTGCCTTCAGATATTCCGACCCCGATTCCGGGATCCAATTGGGGGGGGCGTGTTTGATGAAGAGGTAACGGAGGGGAGACGTGGTGGCGGGAGACTGGCAGAAAACACCGCACTCGGCCCCCGCCGACACCCTGCTCTGCTCCATGAACCAGCGACCGAACGCGCACACCAATGAATGGCGCGCCGCTGAATGGCCGGCGAGGCGCCGGCGCAGGAGGGAGTTTGCGGCGCAGTCGGAGTGGGGCCGGGAGGCGTCCGCGGCGGGCCGCGGAGGGCAGGGCCGCGGGCACCAGTCGTCGCGCGGCGCCTCTGCGGGTGGCCCTGTGAGGGGCCGGGCAGGTTGCGCCAGGGCGGAGGGGGAAGGGAGGTCACCGTTACATAACCCGGCGGCCGCCGCGCTCGGGACCCCGCGGGCCGTCAGGCCTCCAGAGAACGGCCGCCGTATCCGGCCGGCGCGCCCTCTCCGCCCAGCCTCAGCAGTTCGTGCTCCGCCGCCGCCGAGCGGGTCTGCGGCGCCTACAGGATGCGCGTGTCCGGTCCCGCCCCTCCCCCACCCCGGCCGGCCGGGGGTCGCTCACCTTCTGCGTTGCCCCAGACCACCATGCCCGGCAGAGCCGCCTCGTCCGGCTTCGCGGGCCCGGGTGCCGCCGCCGCCGCCGCCGCCGCACACTGTCCTCGCCTGAGCCGGGAGGAGGGCTGGGGAAGGAGTCACACAGCCGCGCCGCGGTTCACGCTCGTCCCACGCTCGCGGAGGCCGGCCTTGCGCGCTCCGCCGAGGCCCCGCCCTTCGCCCTCCGGCGGGCGCGCGCGCCGCAGCTCCGCCCCGCCCACCTCCCCTCAGCGGTCTGCGCGCTCCCTGGCTCCGCCCCCACACCTCCCTCTGCGGGCGGTGTCCTGCTCTGTGTGCGCGCCCGGGGAGCGGCTGGCCCCGCCCCGTCCGCACTCATCGCCGCGCGGCGCACGCGCTCGCCCGCGCCCTGCCTAAGGCGACCCCGAACATCGGGCGCGGCGCCGCCGAGTTCGGCAAAGGCCGCCACGCCCCTCCCCGGGCCCGCCCTCTTCTCACGCAGTGGTCCGCGGAGGCAGCGCCGCCGCGGCACGTGACCGTCTCGCTGGCGGGGGAGGGGCAAACGCGGTGCGGGCCGGCTTTTCGTATTGCGCAGCGGGTTCCGCACCTTGCGACCTCCGCACCTCGCGCTCGGGTCGCTGCCTCCGACTGGGCACTGATTTCCTTCGGCGAGTCCCCGCCGCCCTTGCCCCGCACTCCCCAGTCGGAGAGGACAAGCGCAGGGACTGACTGACCATGCTTGAAACCCTGGTGCTGCCGGAGCATACTTAAAACACGGGTCCCCCTCCACGAGCTGTTGATTTACAGTGACATCTAGTGGAGAAAGGGACACATGCACTGACACTTTCCAATGTCGGAGCAACCGAGAGTCACGGCCCATTTGGGTTGGTGGGAATGAACACTGCGCCAAGGGATGTAAGCGACTTGTGGTCAATTCCCGCAGGGGCATAAAACCCTTTCCTGGTCCACCTGTATATCTGCAAACCACGGCGGGTATCCCATCTTACATGCAGCACTGGGGTTACACACAAAAGCAATTTTCTATTAATGTTAAAATTATATATATTTATATTATATATATATAATTATATATATTATATAAAATTATATATAATATATAAAATATATATTATATATATAATATATTTTACATTATGCGTAAATACAATTTTAATTGAGGGCCTTCTAGCAAGACAATTGTCCCATAATGACCTCTTGGCAATGTCGATTTGCCAGGAGATCCCACATTGCTATCATAATAGTCTTTATTGTTGTAATGCACAAGCGTGAAGTGAACCTCGGTGTACGACACTTTCCCCCCTTATTCCCTTACCTAAGACGCCCAAAGAGTTTGCAAGTTCTTAGGAAACAACCAGCACTCTTTTGAAAGCTGATTTTGCAGAGCTGGAAGAATATTCAAATGACTTTTCTTTTCCCAAGCCCTTTCGTTTTGCCATTTTATAGACTTTTATAAATGTGCTTCAACTTTAGTACTCTTGTCTCTCTAACCTAGCAAATTCAGGTTGCATGCTTTCCTGAGACGTCATAATTGAATACAAATTGGTGTAATTTCAAGAGGCTTACAAACGGCTGCTGACTGCACCATCAGGGTATCATCTGCTGAGATGCCCCAGAAAAACAGTGGTAACCCCTTATTATGTTTTTTAATGTATATCTCTAAATGTCAGTATTTCTACTAATAAGAAATGACAAAGCTCGATTTTCACATTGAAAATAACCTGTGAACTCTACAGGAAATGTACCATTGTATTTCAATTTCAATTTCCTTTCCCACTCCTATTCCAGTCAGGGTATTTTTTAAATACATTTTCTCAAGAAAGAAACACAACATTGAGCTAACTGACCTTGGCAGCATCTTTATAAAATATAGTAAGATGGTATTAACCACACTTTAATGCAAACTAGTAGGCAGCCTCCAATTCACACTGCTTTCTAGATAAATAGGATAAAAAGAATGATGAAGAGTACATAAATAAAATGTATACAAACTCTAGAATCTTGGTACAATTTAGCCCAAGTTTTATTTTTGTCCATTCTAGAATATTATGTTATGCTATTCCATATATATTACACAATGTCTGAAGAGCCTTTTATTTCAATTTTACCCAGTCACCTACATTCATTCATTCATTTACCTACTTCCATTTATTCTCATGAGGACTATCCATCCCAGTCTAAGGGGGGCTGACCTGACCCTTCGGGTAAGGCAACTGAGATGTCTATCCTGGACCCCCACATTTCAGGAAGTGCTTTGAGGCACTCCACCTTATTCTTCTTTTCTGAACTTCATTAAAATTCATTTTTGAAATCTCTATTATTACTGACATCTCAAGGGACCTATGAAAGTGCAGATGAGTGACCCCTGAAGGGACAGCCCTGGGTAAGGACATGGTTCTGCTATCCTTTAATTGGCAATGAACTTTTCTTGGAAACATCCACATCTAGTCTCTCAAATACCAAAAACAGAAAATAAAAACATGAAACCATTAAAGAACAGAGGTTTGTACTCAGGTCCCTTGGGTGATGTACACACAGTTACTCATGTGATTTACTCATAGAAAAGAGCGATGGTGCTGATTGTTATAAGTCATTCAGATCATTATGCTGAAAGATGATATCATAACAAGGCAGGATGAGCACAAGCCTACAGAAACTTAGAAGGAATTTGGAACCAGAATTGGCCAGAAGAGAACACTTCCAAACTCGTTTTATGAAGTCAGACAAGGGCACTATAGGAAAAGAAAATTACAAGCCGATAGCCCTACAATATATGATTGTAGACATAAAAGAGCAGACTTGATCATTCTCAACACACACACACACACACACACACACACACACACACACACAATGGAAACTGTGAGGTGACAGATACATTAATTAACTTGATTGTGGTAATCATTTCAGAAAGTATACATGTATCAAATCATCACATTGTACACTTTAAATACATACAATTTTATTTGTCAATTACACTTTAATAAAGCTGGAAAAAAATTTCTTTCCTGTTTTCTGTCTATTTGTTCTGCCTTCTGTGAGATTTCTTCAATTTTATCTTCTAAATCTTCAATAACTTTAAAATTTCCTATCATATTTTACATTTCAAAGAGCTCCTTTTTTACTGTGAAGTTTCCTTATTTGTTTAAAATTACCATTCTATCTGTATTGCTTGAGATCTTCTTCCTTCCCTCTATGGATATTAATAATATTCATTACTTCAAAAGTTTTCTTCTGCTCCTTATGTCTCTATTTCGTCTCTTCACTGTTGTTTTGGTTTGGTTCTTCTCTTTCACATTAGACACTGTATTAGTCTGCTAGGGCTGCCATAACAAAATGCCACAGATGAGTGACTTAAACAACAGAATTTGTCTCACAGTCTGGAGTCTGGAAGTCCAAGAGTAAGTGCCAACAGGGTTGGTTTCTGGTAAGGCCGCTCTGCCAGGTTTGCAAACAACCACCTTCTGGCTGTGTCCTCACACGGCCTTTTCTCTTTGCATGTACAATACATTCATGGTGTCTCTTCCTCTTTTTATAAAGACACCAGTTCTATGGGATTAGGGTCCCACGCCTATGACTTCATTTACCCTTAGTTACTGCCTTAAAAGCCCTAACTCCAAATACAGTCCCATTGGGGGTTAGGGCTTCAACACATGAATTTGGAGGGTGGGAGACAATTTAGTCCATAACAGACACCTTCCTCAAATATTGATAACCATGGCTAGCTGTTCATGTTTGAGCATGAGGCCCTAAAAGCACTGTGTAGCATGGAAAGACCTGTTGAGTGATACGCTTCATTAGCTGACAGAGTGTCAGCTGGCTTCTTGGCTGGGGACCCTCCAAGAGGGAGACTAAGGCTGGCTGCTGGCTCTATGGTGCAAGTGGGGCAGGACCAGGGTGGGCATCTCAACCTCTGCCGATTGAACTTTCATTCAATCCCGTTTTCATCCAGGCATTCCCACCTTCAATTTGCCTTGCATCCTTCAAACCTGACTTTCTGTAGATCAGCCTCTCCAGGAGCAAACTTCTATTCTTTTGCTGGGGGTGGGGGTGGGGGGTGGGAAGGGCAGCCTCTGGGTACACAGGCTGTGAGGCCATCTAAAGGGCTTCACTGATTTTTGGTAGATTCCTCCCAGGTCTGTTCTGGCTTCTAGAGACATGCAGCAGCCAACAAACTGGGTGAAGTCCCTGTGCTGGTGAAGCTGTCCTTTTAGAAGGTAAAGGTGATCAATAAGCAAAAAGTTATGTCAGTAAAACATCAGGTAGTGGTAAGTGCTAGGGAGAAAGGTAAAACAGAAAGGAGGATGAGCTGGGGAAGGGTGAGTGTATTTACAGGGGGTGGTCAGAAACGCCCCCTCTGGTAAGGAGTCTTTGGAACAGAGACTAGAGGCAATGAGAGAAGAAGCCATGCAGGTATCTTGAAGAGGGGCATTCCAGGCTCAGAGGACAGTGAGGGCAAAGGCCCTGAGTTGGAAATAAGTCTCAATATTTACAACAATGTCATTGGATTAGAGTAACCAAGAGGGGAATGGTTGGAGATGAAGTCAGGGGGATTGCAGAAAGCCAGTCATGTTGGGCCCTGGACCTGTCTGCTGAGCATCATGGTGTGTTGAGCAAAAGAGCAATGATAATCTGACTTACTTTTTAAAAGAATCCCTATGGCCGTGGTGTGGGGAAGACTGGAGGAAGAGCAGGTTGTAGAGGCAGGAATCAGGAATTCTGCTTTAACCACGTTAAGTTTGAGATATCTATTAGATATGAAAATGGAGGTGCTGAATAGGCAGTTAGATATTCAATTGCCAAGTTTGGGGAAATGTCTAGATTGGGATATATACATTTTGGAGTTGTTAGTTTATGATGATGTTTACATGCATGCAGCTGGATCAATCAGGAAATGGGTGTAGAGAGAGAAAATGTTTGATGACTGAAGTTTGGAACATTGTGATACGAAGGTGTTGTCGGTATGATGGGGAGCCAGCAAAGGAGGCTGAGAAGGGGGGAGCTGCCAGTGAGATAGAAGGAGAAGTAAAAGAGAGCAGTGGTCTGAAAGCCAAAAAAAAACAACAAGTGTTTCAAGGATGAAAGAAAGAGTCACACACTGCTGATAATTCAAGTAAGGCAAGACCAAGAATGGATGCTGAACTTGGCAATGTGACTAGTGACTTGGAAAAGTCCTATGGTGAGGTGGGGACA